ATCCTCCGAAGTATCTGACATGGTTTGGGGCACAGAAGATGCTCAGATGCCTACTGGCCTCACACATGCCTTTTGAGTTTTTCCAGGGAGAACTATGGTTTGTACCAGCGGTCAAGAAACTTCTGTAAAGGGCCAGAGAGTGAGTATTTTAGGCTCTGCTGGCCATACGGTCTCTCTCGCAGCTATTCTTTTCTACTGTTGTGTTGTACAACAGCCACAGAAAATACATAATCAAATGAATGTGGCTGTGGCCCCAATAAAACTTTATTCACAAAAACAGACAGTAAGCCAGATCTGGCCCACTGGCCACAGTTTGCAGTCCCTGGATTATACTGAGCCATCTCTGTGGTAAGACTGGCTCCATACTCAACATGCTCACAAATAAAGCCACGTGTCATACGGCTTTGTCACATGTGCCATAAACTGTGTTAAACAATTTAGAATCCATTCATTTTAAATATACATGTTACTTACCATGAATTTTTCTTGCTTTTTGTTTTTAATACATTTTTGCCATTTTTAGAATTTGAAATAAAAGGGAAAAGAAAAATATCACAATTCATAACACCAACTATTACTAATTCTATATTATATTCATGCATATTTATCCTCAATGAACATTCATTATAATCACTATATGCTTGTTTTAGTTGACAATGACTAAATACGACTTTTTAATAATATCTACAGCCAGAAATCAGTGGTAGTGTGGGCAGGGGTAAGAATTATAGATGTCTTAAGGCTGGAAAGAACGCCAGGCGTTAAAGCAGGAGATGGAGATGGTGGCCTCAAGGGGAGGAGGGAGAGTAAATGTCAGGCCTATGGAAATAAGAACTGCAAAGCTCACTCTGGTCAGGAGCTCCAGACGTCTCCTGTCCTCCTCACAGCTCAGTGTGCTCCACCTCTCCTGCTAGTCCTCTGATTTAAAAGCAAAGTAATATTTCAAGCCCCAAAGAGAAAAAGATGGAGACATTAGGACCCGGAGGCCCCAATTATGGATGTGAGGGCCACACTGAGAGGACAATGGTCATCATAAAGAGCAAGCGGACTAGACACCTAGCAGCAAAGTCACCCTGAAAAGCGGCGCTGACTCACAGGAAACTTGGACCCACCAGTGGATCTGAGAAGAAAATAACAAGTGTAGAACAAGCCATCAAATGTGACAACCTAATCGCAACAGCTTGCGATTCTCATCCCTCTTCTCGAGATGCCATTTCTCATCTCCATGTGGGATTTTCACTTTTTCTTCTCCTAGATTTCCATTTTCACCTCATCACCTCTCACATTCTCCTTCTCCCCCTTCCCCTGACCCTCCCAACCGCTTTTCCTTCAACTCACTCACTTCTATCCTATCACGATGCTCAGGCATCATTTCCTCTACAAAATTTTCCTTCAAGCTGGGCTGTAAGTTGCTTCTCTCCACTCCTACAGACTACAGCAGCCACAGATATATCTCCCAGCCTTCCTACCACTGTCAATCTTACCTACACCACAGCACCTAAAAATCTAGTGCCTGTCTTGTGCACATAACCACAGCCTACCACATCCTGCGCCTGAGCACCCAAAGGTCTGAGTGTGAGTCATGCATGCAAACACCAGATAAAAGCAAGAATGAGTGAGCGTGCATGTATGTGCATGTGTGTGTGTAGGAGGAAGAGTGAACACTGTTGGATTAGAGTGCTGAACCCTAAGACCAAGATCAGGAATTTGATTTCAGGTGGTCAATATCATGAACTTACAAAGGAACGTCCTTGTGCTCAGAGCAGAAAGGCCCCAAAGCAGCACCAATCTGTTCCAACCTCTGGGAACACATCTCCAAGTACATGACAGTGGCTCAGCGCCAACAACAGGGCAGCTTGTTACATTATTGCTATAGTTTCAATGGAAGCGGCAGATATGTTTTAAAATTCCAATTATGGCGTGTCTTATATCTCAAAAGAAACCCTCTACTGTGCACATACTTCTAATTCATATATGCATGATATCTGGGTTACACAATCCAGACTTTCCACTAATTCAGAATGGCCTTCATGATAATCTGTTTGTATGAAGTAACCATTTCTCCTCAGGGAGGTGTTGATGAAACTTTTATCATCCTAGTAACATGGCATGAGAAAATGACCTTCTTGCTTTAATACAAATGTTACTGTTACACTAGATACAAAATATGTTTCTATTGTTAAACTGTAACAATAAGATTCTGGAAGGCTTACTAATAGGGGAAGCATAGTCCTTGTGACAAAACAACACTAAGAAAGGAGGAAACCATATTGCTCTTCTTCTGTAGAAAATCTGAGCTAGAGGTGTTCTCAAACACTTACAGTGAAGGCACTGCTGAGTTTTCCAGTAGGCCATTCAACTTTGGAACAGTTAGTTTCCCAATGCATAAATCTTTCAAATGCAATATGTGAGGCTAACTTTAAATATAAAAGCTACCCACATATAGGGCGTTTTGTCTTCTAAACAAACTATGCTATTAAGAAGAAAGCACAATAGTGGTGAACGCATCAGGTACCCAAGCCAGCTAGCGTTTACTGAGTGCTTACACTGTGCCAGCTACCATGGATTATTTCTTTTAATTCCAGCAACCACACTATGACGTGTGCTACTCCCATTTTATAGGCAAGGAACCAAATTTTAAGAAACCAAAGTCAGCAGCTACTAAAAGTGGCATAACTAGGATTGGAATGCTGGTCCACAACCACGCCTTTACACAATTGTGCTTCCCAAAACACGGATCAGAAGCACATTTTGGGAGGTGGGAAGAATGCAATAACTTTCCACACCACAAACAAATCAGATGGAGCAAGAGAAAGCTGATAAGATAATGCTACCACTGTCCACCCACCAAAAATGTTTTTTACGTTGCTAGAAAATGAGGTTGCAGGGCAAGTTACAAAAAAATAATAAATTTCATGAGACAGGCAGAATGGTATAATGAGAAGAGCCTTTAATTTACAACCACAGTGCTTATGTCCTGCTCCATGCCAAACACTGAGACTCAAGTCCCCCACTATGAAATTGTCATGATGAAACACACCTTACTCTTTTGTTGTCATAGAATAGTGAGAATATAAGGGAATGTACCTAGCTAGCACTGTGCTTGGCAGAGAACAGATACTACAATATTTTGTTTCCTTCTTTATCTTCAGTTCTAATTTCAAAATACAAGCAGATAGCTCCTATCTATACAATGTAAATCCTCCCTGGACACCCCCACCCCCACCCCCTCAACCACAGAATAATACCTTTCGAGGTGCATCTCTCTGCTGTTGCTGTGAGAAAAGAGTTTTCCCATCATCCGTAACCTGCCCTTTATTAAGAGTAGAAAATTGTTTAGATATGGCAAAAATACTGTTATTTCACACTTAGAAGAAAAAAATCCTTAAAATAAGTAACAGAATATCTCAAAGCGAGAAGTATTGAAATAGGCAAGCAGCATATCTTGATCAGCAACTAACAAGAGTAAACTTGACTCTAAGACTTTCTCTGCCGCTCTCTCATACAACACAAACTGGTACTCTGAAAAGTGTCAGAGCACAGTAAATGAAACATTCAGATGCTGGGTTTTGTTCTTGTTTTTGTTTTTTCATGAAATACGTTCTCAGAGGGCTAAAAAAACTACACAAGAGAGACTGCAGAGCAAGTAAATCTTTTAAATCTATCTTCCATGAACAGCCTTAATGACACTCTGGCTTGAAATCAGACTAGTATGCTTTCAAAATAAAATATTCCGAGTAAAGCTAAAAAGTTTTCATATTCAGATTTTTTAAAAAATGATTTAAAAGTAAAATGTCTTTAGTGAAAAGTTTAGAGTTGTGAGATATTTGCTGTGCCATTAAGAACGTGGAAGCTCCAACCAGTAGAAACCATCATTCCTGGAGGTCTGAAAACTTCAGTCATTCCTATCTTCCCTCTCATTTTCTTACAGACTGTGGCTCTCCATCACAGCTGCACATCAGTCCTCTCACTCCAACCAAACCAGGGGGCCTAAGAAAGTGTGAAGTATATGGCCCTTAAACATCTACGGAGAAGCTGCTAATCAACATCCCTGAGTCCTGCCAACACTTAAAGGGCAAATCAAACTTGCTTCCTAAACCAGAAAGCAGATGCTTCTGCTCCCCAATGAAACTGAAGCCTCCTCCCACACCCATAAGAAAGTTACCAGTTTCAGTTCTTCCGCTTCATTTTTTAAAAGACGACTGAAAAAATAATTAACTGAACACACGTGTTCTTCCTTCCACTTTTACATATACTTCAAATCCCTCCATTTCCTTCTTCAAGTTAGAGAAATCCAGAATAAATACGTTTGCTTGAAAAGCATTAGAAACTCATTTTCAGGACTGAGTTTTTAGAAGACAAGCTGAGAGAGGTGAGCGAGCAGAGTTCGGTTGTTTTTTTTAAATTCCTGCACGGCAAGGCGATTATGCGTATCTGTTTTCAAACAACAAAAGCGTCTGGAAGGCACAATGATGCAAAGTATACGAGGCACAAGAAACAGGCACGATGCAGCTGGTGTGCTCCGTGTCACAAAGGCTGCTTGGGTAGCACGCGAGCCGGAGTCACAACACTACAAGTACAAGGCTCGCTGCTGCCTCAGATCGCATCCGGTCCCAGGTCCCAAAGCAGGGCTCCGGACCTGGAGGCGGGAGGGGGACGCACGGGAGAGAAGCAGGAAACCCACCGGCGCCCCTCTCAGAGGGCGAGGGCGAGGGCGAGGCCGGGGAGAAAGTGAGGGGAGATGTGGGAGCGCCAGGAGGACGCGCGGCCGGTCCCGCGGAGGCAAAGGACAACCGAGCGGGGGTGGGGGTGAAAGGGGAGATGTGGCAAAGGCGCAGAAGCGCCGGCTGCAGCTCAGCCCAAGGGAGGCGACATGGGGAGCGGGGCCAGGGCCAGAGATAAGTGACCGACGGGAGGGGGAGGGCCAGCTGTATACTAAAGCGCGTGTACTGGACCGAAGTGCGCGTGGCCGGGATGGGGGAGCAGGGCGCGTCGGTCACCTGTATTGTTTGAAAAGCTGGTCCGACTCCCTGAAGCCGTTGTTGAGCAGCATGTTGATGCCGGCCAGGGCCAGCTCCGCGTCCTGCAGGGGCGCCGCCGCCGCCGCTTCTCCGTCATCCCGCCGCCGCGGCCGCTGCTGCTCCGCGCCGGCCATGGGCGCGCGAGGCTCTGCGCAGGGCC